CCTGAAACAATTTTATATATGTTATATTATATATATTTATATATATATATATATATATATATATGAATAGAACAGAGCCACACACTTGATTTTGGGTATATTTTGGTCTGTTAGAAGAAACTTCCTCCCAAAATTTTAAAGAAAGAAAATCTTATGTATATACAAAAATAAGGGTAAACATGACGAAGGGATGGAATATGACTGTAAAGATGAAAATTTAAAAAGATTCTAAAAAAGGAATTGATAAGATAAGTCAGTTGAAAAAAGAAAAAAAAGAGGAAAGAGTATGATCAGGCTGGAGACTAGAACAAAGCCATGTGCTAGATTTAGGGTATATTTTGATCTATTACAAGAAACTGTATACCAAAATTCAAAGAAAGAAAAACCTAAATGTATACAAAAAATAAGGTTAAATACAATGAAGTGATAAAATATGACTATAATAATGAAAAATTTAAAAGATTTTAAAAAAGGTATTGATAAGATAAAATAGTTAAAAATGTTAAAATAAGAAAGAGGAAAAATTAAAAAAATAGAATAAGAAAAAAAATTTAAAAAATTTAACTTTGAAAGACTAAAGAATCATGGGGGAATAGCCATGAATTCTATGGGCTATATTCCTGTAGGTCTAAAGTTTTGCAGTTCTCATTGATTGGTGAACTTGGTCTGGCCGGATGTTCTTGTTGATCTTCTGGGGGAGGGACCTGTTGCCCTGATTCTCAAATGTCTTTGCCCGAGGTGGAATTGTTCCACCCTTGCCAGGGGCTGGGCTAAGTAATGTGCTCGGGTTCACCCTCGGGAGCTTTTATTCCCTGAACGTTTCTGTAGAGCTTTAGAGGACAGGAATGAAAATGGTGGCCTCCCAATCTAGAGCCCATAGGAGCCGAGAGTTCGGGACCCGCTCCTCTGTGTACCCTCAGAGAAAAGCAGTCGATCCTTCCTGTCTCCTTGGTCTCCAGCTGCACTCTGTGCTCACCTGGCCTGTGACTGAGCATTTCTATCTCTGGTCCATGGTCCCATTTGGAGTCCCCAAACCTAGCAGATTCCTGATGTACACTCCTGTGCTGCTTCTCCCGGAGGAGGAATGGGGGGGGTCTCTCCGGATCTGCCACTTGTGGGGTCCCTGCTTGAAGAGCAGTGGTTGAACTGTGCCTGGGATCACAGTTGAAGGTAACCCTGAGCTAAGAGCTCACTCCTCAGCTCTGTCTTTGCAGCCAGCCTCCCTGCTATGATACCTGGCAGCTCTGCCACACTCAGACACCCCTGGTCTTTCTGTAACCCAGCAGGTCCTGAGACCATACTGTCTCCATGACGGCTCTGACCCCTACTTAGCCTCTGGAGCGATGTCCCTCAATGGAGCAGACTTCTAAAAGTTCTGATTTTGTGCTCTGCTGCTCCACCGCTTGCTGGGAGCCAGCCCCTCCCCCCATGGTCTATCTTCCTGTATATTGCCTCGGATTCACTTCTCTGCATGTCCTACCTTCCAGAAAGTGGTCGCTTTTCTGTTCCTAGAATTGCTGCTCTTCTTCCCTTTGACCTCCTCTTGAGTTTGTAGGGGTTCAGAATGGTTTGATAACTATCTAGTTGAAATCCAGGGACCTGATGATATTAGGTCTCCTACTCCTCTGCCATCTTGCTCCTCCCCCTTGGTGATTATTTTTTAATGGCTACAGAGTTTCAGTTGTGTGAGATGAAAAGAGCTCTGGCCATTGGTTAAACAACAGTGGGGATGTACTTAACATCACTGAACTGTGCATCCGATTAAAAAAAAAAAGGCAACAATTAGCTTCCTTTGTTGTCTTTGTGCATTGAACTTAGGAAATTTCAACTACAGACATCTGCCCCTTTAGTCCTGAACTTCCCACCTCCCTCCTCGTTCAAACCAGACTTCGGCCTCTGGAGTGCACTTTTGCTAAGCACCTGTATTTAAAGCCATATGCAAGATGGAGCTCCACCATATCTCTCATTCTTTTCTTACTAATCACACTGTATATAGTTCAGGAAATGAAGGCACTGCTGAGAAGCAAGAAGAAGGGTTTAGCCCCTAGACTGAACATAGCACTTAGATGCCACAGAAAATTCTTTGTGTATGAACTGATGAACTAAGTAGAGCTCCACATTTCTTTTTTGGACCCGTCAGCACACACACAAGTAATACATTTGCCCTAATCCTGAATATATGATGTTTGGGGCGGAATTGAAGGAAAGTTGCATTTGCATTGCCCACAAAGAGGGCTTCCTAGGCAATGTAGGATAATGGTGTCAGCAAAAAGGCAAAGGAAAAGAGTACTGATCAATCTTGGAGAACTCTAATCCTGATTCTTGTAAAATCTTGATATAGAAATGAATCCTTCATACACTTAAAGAATATTTTAGGCTCTATTAAATATATATATTTCATATTCATATATGTATGTATACACACACACACACACACATATGAAAGAAAATAGCTTCAAACACTCTGCATATTTGTATCTCCTAGAGCACACAGCAGTGCTTTGTCCACAGGAAGTAGTCAATACACGGTTATTGAATTTAGAATGTCCTTCTTCCCAATCAGTGAGGTTTAATATATTTCCAATCCAGAATGCTTATTAATTTTTCAGCATTAGTAAGCCTTTAAAAAAATCCATTTGTGGATGTGTTTAAGAGCTCACGGCAAATACCATTTCATACATGATGAAGAGAATACTGTTAAATGAAGCATGCTTATTCAACACACCGGTAGCCACTGATAAAATGTAATTTAATTTAATCATTTAAATTTACATTGTTAATGTACAAGAGCATTTCTTTCAAACCACAGGTTAACACACACTAAGGAGCAATGCTGTTAGAAGAGCAGAGAAACTCTGGAAAACTCTGCTGTCTGAAATGAAAGCAAGGCACTCTCCATTAACAGCTGGTGGATTCCTGATTTCTTCCCATAGAAGGCATGTTCACACTGAGAGAGCTCTCCCACAAGGGAAGAATCACCTGCTTTAATTCTTGCTGTCCTCTTCTGAGCTAGTTTGGTCATCCACTCTGTATGTATAAACTTGTGTGTCAACGTTAAGACAAAAGAAGAGAGTTGAATTGATGGATTATGTGGGAGGCTCTCATAGTTCTTACAACTATGGAAGACAGAAGAACACTGGCTATAACCTTTATTTTCAACACTAGTGTCTGGACCTATAACTAAAAACCTTCATTCCTGCCAACCAATCACGGCTAAAAAGTCTTTTCCTTTAATCTGATGGGTTTAAAAATGAAAAGTAACAGCGTTTCTCCAGGGCTCTGATTTTTCGGTTTGTTTTGTTTTTCTTTTATGGACATGACAGAAAACAAGGAATAACTTTCCAATACTAATGGTGCACAAAAGGGTTATGTATGCACAGCATTTCTAATTTATTCAAATTCAATTTGAATTTGGTCCGAAGCTACCTTGTACAAAATGTTAGCTTTCCTGATATTTAATAATGTTTATTATGTTTGTATATAAGCTCAAAAAAATTAATGCAAAAGTACTACTTTACTCATGGTTATCAGGTAAAATGTAAATATTAGTGGTTATTTTTAAAAGCCTGTTTTCCTATAGATGCAATAAGTTGAGTAAAAAACACTATGGAAAGGAGAATTAGGTCCTAGTCTTGATTCTGGTACTAGCCTGTTGGCCCTTGGGCAATTTTTACTTTCTCTGGGTCCCAGTTTTCTCCTCTATGAGTTTTGAAGGGGTGGGGGAGCAGTTGACAAGTCTAATGTCCCAAGAGCCTAACATTGCAGACCTATCACCTGGATATAAAAATAATAATCTTCCATAAAAGCACACACAAACATAATACATGATCAAATATCAGAATGACTCTTGGAGGGGGAAAACATATATGCTTTGCTATCTGGGTTATCCTTTGCAGCAATTCGGCAATTCATTTGGCATTTGTTTGATTGTATAATTTAATGACAATATAAACAGCATAGTTTTGTTATTTTTTTCTTGAAAAAGACTAAAGCAAAAATGATTTAAAGCTAACAGAAACTACTGTGACATCAGTTTCACATTCATAGTTTGTTTCTTAGCAAAATGGCCAAAGATATTTTGACTTGATACAGAATATATAATATAAAGACTTTTAGACCTAAAAATCTTCAAACATTATTCGAATTTAGCAAAACATAAGCAAAATTTTCATATCAAAGTGCTAAACAGTACTGCCTTAAAAGTCACTGCAAATGAATCATAAAATAACTGCATGGGAAGTAACATTTATTGTACAAATGGTTAATAAAAAGACACATTATAAATATATATATATGTAACCTGCTATATTTATATATATATTTGTTTATTTAATTTCTAATTGGTGTATCCAAGTCACTGTGAACACCTCATTTAAGTACTCTGTAACTCAGCTTCCAGGAGCTGGTGGTCTTGCAGTAAATACAGGCAAAGCTATTACAATAGAACGTGCATACAAATGTTTATACAAATAAGGACACTATGCAACAAATTATCTCATAGTAATATGGCATCGACAGTATAAACATACAAAAGGGGAGTACGAACACGGAATGTTGAAACGCAGCCCACTAATCCTGTCTAGTAGTCACATTCATACTATTATTTTTTTAAATAAGACTCACTTGCTCTCCAAAATTGTCTTTGTAACCAACAACAGAAATTAAATTATATAGATTTTAAAAATCTTGTTACCTCTGGTGTTTACCCTGTATGATCAGTTCCTACCTCTTTGCATGTTCTTATTTAGGGATCAAACGCTTGAGACTCACTGAAAGCTCCTGGGGCTTGTGAATGAACGTGTCGGTCAGCTGCTATTAACTGAAGCAAGTTTAGGGAAGTCTGTCTGGATTGACAGAACACAGCTGAGATGGCTGTATGCATTCTATTTTGTGATCTGAGCCCCTTGCAGGACAGCTGGACAAAGATCTGGATCCATTTAGAATGACCCAAAGTCTTGGATGGACTGTACCTCAGAAGGGTTCTACAGATGGACAAAGCCTCGCTAGGAAAATTAACATGTGTCATTTGCCAACACGACTGCCTCCTTTTTTTTATCTCCATACGAAATAAAGGAGAGTTAATAAACACGATTCAGCAAGACAGCACTTTAAAAATTGCACTTGTATATGGAAACGAACAGCCGTTATCATTTTGCTATGTCTGATTTCTAGGTAATCGTCATCTTTCACCTTTTGTTAAAATAAAATAAAGGAAGAGAGAAATTAAGAAGAGAGAATTTCTGCCTCATTTGCATCACATATATACCCTTGATACAGGAAGTGTATTCTAAAGATCAACGTCAAGATACCTCCTACCCTGGCGAACAACCCTTGGCTGTTCTTGTTTTTAAATACAAAGCAACTCTAATTGTATTCCCCAAAAAGTTTTAAAACAGTTGTATTATCCTTTTTTTTTTTTTTCTCCTGCTGGGATAGCATCGTCCAAAAGTGCTTTGTTAGCAATTTCTTAGAAAACCCTCATGAACTATACCCTCCCCTCCCACACCAACCCCAAAGCCTAAATATAAAACACAACCCCAACACAATACTCTGCAAGTTTTCTGGCTTTAGGTTGTAAGGAAAAGTGCCAGAAAGAAAAAAAAAAAAAAGTCTTTTCTACAGGAGCTGCTTCTCCTCTTAAGGAAGGACAGAAAATGGTAGGTGTCCAGACCCATTCCTCTGCTGCTTAGCAAGAAGGTGCTGGCCACTGAAGCGGCTCCCCGCTCTGGCTGCTCCTGTTCAGAAAGGCAGGGTGTCCAGGAAGAGCTTGTCGATGATGGAAGGTGGAGACACCAAGTCTTCCAGCTTCAGGTAGAAGATGCGCTGGAGGCCCAGGGTGCAGAGCTTGCGCAGTTCCACCAGCGCGCCCAGGACCTTGGGCTCGCTGGGCTCCAAGGCCTGTCCCTTACTCTGGTGGTCTTTCAAGCTGCTTGTGATCTTGTTGCATAGCTCCTCCACTCTCTTTGGTTCTTTTAACCCATGTCGTTCTGCAGAGGGAGAGAAAAGGATAAGTTGAGGAGGTGGTGACATCTTAAGAGACTTTGTTGTTTTGTTTTTGCTTTTTTCTTTTCTTAAAAGTAGGCTCCACACCCAACGTGGGTCTTGAACTCATGACCCTGAGATCAAGAGTCAGATGCTCTACCGACTGAGCCAACCAGGCACCTCATTTTTTTTTTTTAGATTTTATTTATTTATTTGAGAAAGAGAGAAAGGGAGGGATAAAGCATGAGTGGGGGTGGGGAGGGGCAGAAAGAGAGAGAGAGAGAAAGAGAGAAGTAGACTCTCTGCTGAGCAGGGAGCCCTATGTGGGGCTCGATCCCAGGACCCTGAGATCATTACTTGAGCTGAAGGCAGATACTCAGCGGATTGAGCCAGCCAGGTGCCCCAGGCATCCCCATCGTAAGAGGCTCTGAATCTCGAATAGAGGCCCATGTCTTCTTCCACCAGTTGGGATGGCATTTTACAATCCAAGTGCCTTCCTCTTAGAGGTCACTCATAGCCTTTGGTATCAAACGGCACCAGGCTTTGAATCCCAGTCCTGCCACTTCCTCGCTGTGTTCCCCTGAGTTAGCCTCTTAATTTCTGAGCCCCCGTTTCCTTATAAAATGAAGATAATAATTGTTCTTAATTTTCTGGCAGTTTCTGGGAGTACCGGCTTAGGGGAAGCACACCGTTCCTGGCACACAGTCACATTAAATGAATGACAGAGAGGTAATTACTTTGCATACATCGTCCTACAAAAGCCTGGTCAGGAAGCAACTCTTTATCAGAGTGATAGAGAAACACATCCAGGCAAATGAATTAATGTTCCCATCTTAACAGGTGGAGGGGGAGGGGTCCTGTTAGCTCCATTTGCTAATGCAAAGGCTGCCCCATGAGATCCAGCACAAAGCACATTTTTTATGTTTTCATGCTAACCAGCACTGAGAGGAATCCGGCTTTTCTCTTCCTTGTTTGTGGCCCCCCCTTGAAACACCTATTGACCGACGCCTGGCGCCCTGTACAAAATACACGTCTTCCTCCTGTGGAGATGGAAAAGTCAACAAGAAGGGAAGAGGCCCAGAAAGAGGCGCAGCAGGCATTTTACAATGTAGCAAGACATGAACACCTGTATCTCGTATTTTATAAAACAATACAGAAAAGGATCCCCATGTTAAATATTATGATCTCCTATTTTATTTTAAGTGATTTTCTCAAAGTCCCAAAGATTTTGTCCTCCTCCTCCAGAAAGGACTTACTCGCATCCAGTACCAATCACTTTGCTCTCCCTCAGCAATTAGATACCAAAGTCTCTTTCCTGAGAGAAGGGCTTGGCCCTACTTATCTCAGTCAGGGATTTTTATCTCTAAGTATATTTACATGTAAAACAATAACTCTTGTGAGATGGAAGACATCTTTCCAAAGGGAAATCAAGCAGTGGTGTCTCATTTTTCTTACAGTTATTTTTTTCAGTTGGATATATATATATATATATATATATATATATATATACATATATATATATTTTAATTTTTTAAAAAATTCCAGTATAATTAACATATCGCTTTATATTCGTTTCAGGCGTACAAGAGTGTTCAGCAATTCATCAATCCTACATGTTACTCAGTGCTCATCAAGATAAGTATTCTCCTAAACCTCAGTTGGGGAAATTTTTGTTAGGGAAGTTATTTCCTTAAAACAGAAACAAAAAAATAGTCAATTAGTAAAATGAAGCAAGATCCAGACATTTCTTCTCTTGCCCTAAATCAAAGGAGGCCGAGGGACCCGGAGATCCGCACTCTTCCCCAGGCTGGCTGGTTGTGTATGAGCTGGGTTGAGTCCCTCCCTCTTTAGGGCTTGTTTTAAAAGAAGGAGGTCAGACTTAACGACCTTTAAGGTCCCTTCTGGCTCTGATGTGTCGTATTTACATTAAACGACAACCATGAAAACTGTCAGCATCTCAGTTGGATTATAACTTGCAGGCATCTCATCTCCGTGCACCACAATATAGAGCAAAGGGCACTGGACGTGCAGCCAGACAGAGCTGGGCTTCAGGTCTGGTTCTGTTACGTACTAGCTATGTGACCTCATTTCTTTGAGGCTCAATGTCCTTCTAGCAAAATGGGGATTCCAGGGAGGTAGACATACAAGTCTTTATTGTATTCTTCATTTCCTTCTGTGTGTCTCTTTTTTTAAGATTTTATTTTATTTTATTTTTAAAGAGAAAGAGAGAGTGCGCACGTGCATATGCACGTGGGTGTGTGAGAGCGGGGGAAGGGAGCTTGGTGGGGGAGGGGCAGAGGGGAGAGAGAGAATCTTGAGCAGGCTCTATGCCCAGCACTGAGTCTGACGTGGGGCTCAATCTCACAACCTTGAGATCACAACCTGGGCTGAAATCAAGAGTCGGATACTTAACCGGCTAAGCCACCCAGGCACCCCAAGATTTTATTTTTTAAGTCATCTGTAGACCCAGTGTAGGGCTCAAATTCACAACCCTGAGATCAAGAGTTGCATGTTCTACGGACTGAGCCAGCCAGGTCCCCCCTTTTCTGTGTGCCCTAAGTATTGCACAATAAATTGAAAGAAAAATATGATTATAATAAAATCTACTTCCATGGATTATTGTCAGGCTTAATTAAGATGATGTTACCTGAAGACCTTCTGCCAGCTGCATTGTGCTACACACGTGGTACGGTCAGCACCCACAATGGTGCCTGCCGCCTGGCAAATGGTTGGCAACCGCAGGGTCAGACAAAAGGCAGTAAAGTCCCCTACTTCCCAAGCTTTGCAGGGCACGATTCTGCTTTTCCCAGGAAACTGTGAGCTAATCAGCCCAGGTGCAAACCTGTCCTCTCCATTTATCTTTACTGCATACATAGCCCCTTTGTTTAGTCTCAAAAGATGTACCCAGGACTGACCTTCAAGAGAAATTCTGCCTGCAACGGTGTTCTTCTTAAAGTTTTCCCCACCCCCCCCACCCCGCCCCTGGCCCCACCAAAGCACAAAAGCAGACTGCAAGTTTGGCAGTAACTTCAAGAGCTGTAAAATGTTCATAGCCTCTGACCAAGTAATGCCACTCTTGGGAATTTATCTGAAGGAAAAATTCAGCAGAAGACTAAAACTGTATGCACGAACACATTTGGGGGTAGCAGTATCTGTTTAAAAAAACTGGGAAAAAGTTAAGAGGTAGAAGAATAGGGATACTGCTAATGGCATACGCACATAATGGAAGATTCTGTAAACATCAGAAAGGACAAATGGGAAGGCTGTGAAGCGACATGGAAAACTATAAAATATCCCATTAAAGAACAGAATATAAAATGGTATCTAAGATGTGATGACACCTATACAAAATTTATTTCTGCATATAGAAAAGGGTGAAAGGAAACAGAAAAGTGAGAATATTTATGAGCTTGTCATTTTGCTCTTTTCCTTTCTTTTAAAATTTCCAAGTTAGCAGTATTTGTATATTAAACCGCTAGCCTAGAACGATCTGGGATTTGGTCTCTCTCGCAGCTGTAACATGATCAAACAGTCATCTTGCTGATAGTAAATTCTATTAATACCAAGCTATATCGAATTAGGTTCACTATCCGGGGAGAGACGCTTTTCCCAGAATAAAATACCAATCCATTGATTTCAACTTTGCCTTCCTTCCAGTGCCCCATATCTTGCATTATATTCAAGATCCCATATTCGTCTTCAGGCAAAGAAATGGAGCACAGTGCTGGCTGGATTTGGGGAGGGGGTTGATTATGGAACCTAATAACTAGACTTTGTCATGGCCAAACTCACAGAAGGTGCCTCAGAGTTTTCCCTGCTCTCCAACCAGTTGTGACTGCTCAATAACTATGGCAACCATTATTTATTCAGCGAATTGAAGTGGAGATCGATACCTCCCTGCTAGCTGGATCAACCCTAGGCCTGGAATTCCTTGAGGAATTCAGAGACTCTCCTGTTAGAAGCCAAAGGCACCTTCTTTGTTGCTTTGAACAGCTACTGGATTTGTGGTTTCTTTACTTTTTCAAAAGGGCTGAGATAAAATTCAGTCTCCATGCAAACTACTGCCAGCAGCCAGCAAGATTTCCAAGTCACCAGGGAGTCCCTGAGTGGCAGGGACCTTCCTAGTAATCTGCAATTCCTTAAAACCCCAAACACGGATGTTTTCATTTAAGGGACCTCCTTTCTCTTTGGTGCCTGCTAAATATGGCTGCAGTGCTGACAGACAGAGACTCAACAAACCTGGGGAAATCGGACATTTGGATTTCCCCCTTCCTAGAGAATCACACACAGATTTTACTGTAAGATCTTTGTCCACCATTAAACAAAAACACAAGCTCTTTGGCATTTCTTGCTCTTTGACCTACATCATACTACATCATACTACATCATACTATAAATATTTTCGCATTTTAACTCAGCTCTCTCTATCCAAAACTTAAAGACACATCTTATAGAAACGGCTAAGTAATGGATTTATGTGTCAAAGTCATAGTACATATGAGTTGGGAAGGATTTGAGTCATTTAGTTCACACTCCCACCCAAGACAAAAATCCCTGTGGAGATGTCACAAAGTGCTCAGCACCAGCTAGTGCTTAGGGGGCGCCTGGGTGGCTCAGTTGGTTAAGCAACTGCCTTGGGCTCAGCTCATGATCCTGGAATCCGGGGATCGAGTCTAGCATCGGGCTCCCAGCTCCACGGGGAGTCTGTTTCTCCCTCTGACCTTCTCCCTTCTCATGTTCTCTCTCACTATCTCTCTCTTAAATTAAAAAAAAAAAAAATCTTAAAAAAAATTAACAATGTACTTGGTAGCACTTTATATTCTGCTCTTTTACTTAGATTATTTTATCACACCCTCTCAACATCCTTGTGAACTGGACAGGACAAAGATGATCTTTATTTAATAGATAAGAAGGCTCAGGCTCAGAGAGTTAAGTGACTTGCCCATAGTCAAATTTAGCAAATGGCTAATTTCTTTTGCTCCAAGTCCAGACATGTTTCTTTTAT